GTGTAATATTTATTAGAATCAAAATTAATTTGATTCCACTTCATTCACCGTCAATAGGCCTATCTAATAAGGTTACTTTATCATTTAAACAAAAATTGCTGAAAAAATAAAGCATAATTATTGCTCAAACATTTATTAAAATGTTCATAATACCATTACTGGCCCCTTAACAATACCACATAGAATAATATAGTTGTCATTACAATACAAAAAGACACTGATATAATACTTTTTTGACCACATAGAATAATACTGTATATTTGCCATTACAATACGAGGTAAAAATAAACAAAAGACACTGATATATTTTTTTTTATTTTAGCGGACCACTATAAATCCATTCATACATCACGGATTTCCGATTAAATATTACGAGTACAGCAATCGCGGATACGTTGGGTAGAGGGAAGCTACTGTGAAAATGTGTACATACAATCAGTATACAATCGTAATTGGTAATTGTTTGTTACAGTATAGTACAACACAGAATACCAATTATAGGCCTACAAGTGAAACGTTGTAATAACAGTATATAAAGAGCCTAGGCCCTGTCTAGCCATCATTGTAATATATATTTTTGGAAAAACTTGCGGACAATGATACTGTATTCTGTATATTTTTGTATATGTTTGTAACATTCGTAAGTTTCTAATATACTGTAACGATCGTCCGATCTACGTAGCATAATAATGATACAGTCGATGTACTGGAATTCACCGAAGCTAACTATGTACAGACATTTTATTTGCGATGTATTACCGTAGCGTTGCTTGCATACTTAATTAGGGCAAGCCCTCTTTTGTCTGGTAATAAACAACATCGTTGGTATCGAGAAATAGGTAGCGGTTCGCGGAGCCTGATTTTTACTCAATGCCGTAATGCTTGGATAAACAGATGTCATATAGGTCACTTAGTCATTAGTTATTCATTAGCTTATCACTCGCGAGTCCCACGCCAATCACTCTCGTGGCCCACGCGAGGAGATGTAGAAGGTCCTGTAATCAGTACTGTACATAATATGTATTTCTACATATTTTATCATATTATACATATTTCATCATTGTTATATCACACCATTAATCCTGTGCTGCTATTATTAGAATGTGTAAATGGTGAAGAAGCAATCATATAACCAACATGACTGATTTTTTTTTATAGACATGATTGTGTATATCTGTTAGGATAATCAAGAACTTAACTGCAAGTCTTTGTTAGAATTTCCCTATTATTTAATTGTATAATATTTCTGTACTATATTCAATGAAGCACTTTTTTTGACAGACAAGTCTGTTTAGGATTCACTGTAACTTTATTTAGCAATCTTCACACCAATTTTTTGTGTTACATATTTTATTCTCCTTTGCTGAAATTAAATGCAATGTGCAATGAGGTAAGGATTACAGTAGTATAGTTCACCCTGCAATTCCAGACCACCTTTTGAACCTTAAAATTTGGGTCACATATAGGGTTACTTTAAGTGTGAATAGATTGAAGATTATTACAGTTCACCCTCCAAGTCCTTTGGGACCTACACATTTGGGGTGGTCTGAAGACAGTTATTTGGTTTTTTGAAAAAGTAGTCTCAAATTAGAGGGGTCTCGGAATTAGGGGGGGTCTTCAAAATTAGAGGATGCACTGTATTTGGTTCTTTGGACAAGTGGTCTCAAATTATAGGCCTCTCGAATCGGAAGGTGCAATATGTGCCCAGTTGGATTGGTGAGTACTTACCAAGAATAGCTCTCAAATGTCCCTCCAAAGTTTGCAGGATCACTTCTTCAATTTCCTTCGTGTTTCGGCCAAGGAACTGTTCACAAGCTGTGGCTAGGAGTTCAGGCTCAGTCATAACCTTACACTGGGCAACACCTGTCACAGTCAGTGGGACACCGTAGCATGTCTCAACATTTTCACACCGTGGGTTTAGTGTCATCACTTCAAGAGTGATTCTACAGAAAAAATACAGTACTTGCATGAGTTTTTGTTGAACTGTAAATTTTGTATTATGTGCTTCTGTTGTTAACCTGAAATTGCTTTTGTTCTGATGTACTACCATCAGACACTCTACACATTAGCCTAGTTAATCAATCAATTAATGGTGAAAGTAGTTGTGAAGCCATGTTAGTCTGAAAAATAAAATTGATAACAGGTAATGATGAGGCAGTAGTCTCAGACTAACTTAAAACTTTAACTTAAAGCTTGTATCATTAACGCGCTGCCTGCCAAACACGGAGATCTCTGTGTTTGTTAACACAATGCCTGAAAGGCAAACACAGATTATTACCAACATGTACTAACAATTTGAACACTATACCATAAAACCTCGAATTGAAGCCCTGGGGTTTGTGACCTATTCTCAGTGACCTCCTATTGCACGGCGATACTGAAACGCGGTTATCTCAGCTTCATTGTGCGAATATGCGTAAAACAACAAAAGTTACAGATTGTGATTAGAATAAAGTGTTTGGTACCATTGTAAAAAAAAAACTATGATGTTTTTAGTTCTTGTATTATTTGTGTTCAATCTGAACATACACACTCGCAGCGAGCTTCGGAAAAGTGTTACAATTCGCTAGAAAGTGGCTGATACTATTTAAATTTCAAACCCCTGGCAGTCAGAGTGTTAAAGTTAGTCTCACAATGCTGCCTCATCATTACCTGTTATCAATTCAATCAATTAATCAATCAGTTCCATCTCTATGGAGTAGCACTATTAGGCCTACATATTCTAAACTTAAATTAAAAATGAAATACATCAAATCATTTCAAATTCTATGTTAAATATGTTAAAGTTGTGTACATCCTACAATCATTACAGAATACAGTACAGTATATAGTGGTTTTCATGATAATAACACTCTCCAACAATAACAATTAAATAATTTATATAGAGTTCAATGTAAATATATAATTAAGTTACTTTTGAGTAAAAATCAAATCTACACAACATGGTCAATATTTATTTCACACTACATAAACACATTCTATTTATATTTTTTTAGAAATAAGTCCCCACAAACAGGAAAAAAAAAAACACTAATTGAAAATGATGATGATTTTTTAAACTGAAAACTATGCGAAGGATCTAAAGTCGGGCACACACTGCCGATCAACCGATCCATCTCAACTCAGTTTGACGACACGATGCTGTCTGCTGATTTCCTGTGGAAGCCTAAGTAAATCATCACTGAAAATGATCCATCCCTCACATCTCATCAAGATGCGTCCCAGTTGATTGAGAAAATCTGTGGGTATCTAAATCCCACAGGGGAGAAAATGTTTCTCGTTTAAACCTTATTCTGTTGTATTTAATATTATATTTCTTTAAATACAATAAATGAATGAGTACTTTTTGCAAGTGAAAATACGATGACATCATCGATCAAACAGTGTTTGTTATCATCGCATCATCATACACAATTTGAGTTTTTAAAACAAAACTGTTGTCGTTACAGGATTGCAATGTGATTTCATAACGTCTCATATCAGGCAAGTACAGTTAGCAAAGCTGATGTGCAAAAAATAGGATTAGAGCTGTTATTAGTTCAATAGAGTAAAGTTTACCACATGAAAAAATAAGAGGTAGCTTACTTCTGAACATCTGTTACTGCACACCAGGCCCACGCCCAACCACCGATAACATAGTTCTTTGCTTCATTGCCACAACACCCACCTAAACAAAAAATAATTAAATTCAATATTTACTTTGGCAATGGCATTTGCATATTGAATATTACAGTAGTAGAGATGAATTCAATATTGGGCAAGACAATGAATTTTTAATTCATTAGTTAAAGGGAACATTTGGATGAATACAGCAGCTTACATAGGCCTACTGTATGTAGTGTGTGAAGCTCGAACAGAGTGATAGGTATGCAAATGATGTGCTTGACACATTGATTGATTGACTGATTAATTGATCAAATAACTACTCAGTAATATTATCAACACTATTAGTATTATACTACAGTATCTATTTTAATCATAATAACTATAAATGTACTGTTTGTAAAATAGTATAAAGTTATTATTTAATATCATTTGTAATTTTTTTTTATTTTTTAAATATATTGCTTTAGAAATTTATTTCAAAATAAATTAAGTTTTAAAATGTATCACTTATCATTACCAACTGTATTTATTACAAAAAAAATAAAATAAAATAAAAAACCAGATTAAAAAAATTTGAACAAAATACATGTAATTAGCTTTCAGTTGATTCAGTAATTAGAATGAGATATTCTCCCTTGCCAAATAAAAGACAATGATTTCAGTCCTATTATTCCTTCCATTTACCCTTAAATTGGATGGTAATAAAATTCAAAAATTTACATAGAAAAAATATCAGCATAAACTGAATCATTTTGATCTGTTTCCCTAAAAATTAACTTATTGTATTAAATCAGAAATCTTTTTCCAGCAGTAATATTTTAATTATTTATAATTTTTTTATTTTGCAAATATTGCTTTAGAAATTTATTTTCAAATAAATTTAGTTTTAAAATGTATCACTTATCCTTACTAACTGTATTTATTACAAAAAAAAAAATTGATTTACAAAATTTGAACATTGAAATAAATAGTCAAGTATTATTCTTTCCATTTACCCTTAAATTTATTGGCAATAAAATTCAAAGCGTTTACGTGGTAAACATAATTAGTATATAACTGAAATTGTTTTTGTGTGTTTCACGTTTGAAATTAATCTATTTGATCAACAATCCTTTTCCAGAGTAATATGTTATTTAATATTATTTATTATTTCTTTACCTAATTTTTTAAATCATAAACACAATTCAAAAATGAATTGATAACAATGAATAAACAAAATCAACACGCAAAAGTCAGTATACTATAGAACAAACTATGACTCCTTTTCTTTATTCGGAGTAATGTTTTTCCTATGTTATTTAAACATAATCAGTGCATCTGTTGGTTTTTTTGAGTCAGTATGTTTCAGATCAAATCAAGACTGTAATTTGCCAATGCTTTTTAAACATTTTAAAGGACTAGGCCTAGTACTAGTGGTGCAGCCTACAGTAGGCCTAGATGGGGCTAGGCCCTAGGCTATGCTACTGTAGCTAGGACCCTTACCTAGCTAGCTAGGAGTACAGTACATCCATGTGAGGGTGCCTGTCAAAATCCCAAATAGGAAAGTGTTAACATAACGGGGAAAAAAATCGGGGTCACATGGGGCCTTTTCCTGGACTCCGATTCGATATTCTAAAAAACAAACACTCAGACAATGTTCTCCGATAATTTCCACCTCGAAGAAACTTAGTAGTGATATATTTAAAACGTTTCCAATTTTAATTAAATACAAAAAAAGTAGAAAATAACTCATTCTCATATATAGAAAATATTGAAGATCAATTAACTTTATGCAATGATATTTCTGAAGTAAATTTATAAGACTCTGTGCCCCGAGTGTTTAAATACCCTAGGCTAGGTAGAATCTGAGCCACCCTAGGCTATGATACGAGTGATGCGTCATTGCGTAGCCTACTAGAACGTGTGCAGAGAGAGGAGACATCGCGTCTAGGCTTACACGTAGCTAGACTGTACGCGCGGTGCATACATAATGGTGACACCTTCAAGATAGGCCAATGTCACTGATCTCTACTGTAATAACTGGATTGTTCATTGGCTGGTTTTGTTAGTGAGGCCACCAACACCATATTGGAGGGCCTAAGTGTATCAGGCAGTCTAAAAATGGTACATCACTTACACAAAATCAGTCTTACATTTTCCAGTTTAGTTTTGACAGCCTAAACAAATTTTCAATTTTTTATTATTCACACAGTATGTAGATATATATCCTTTGCGAACATTTTAAAGAAAAAATTATGTTGATACGACCCTCCGATAAGGATTTATGACTTTTTAAGTAACATGACTTCCGAAAATATGGTTGAAATGCTATGTTATTTCTATTGGTTACGCTTCGCTGCTCAGCACTGTTTGTCATCAATAGAAGCTGTCTTCGCAGCGTGAAAAAGGCATATAATTACAGTAGGCTAAGATATTGTTTGTATCATCCCAATCATGTTTTATTTTGAATATGAAGGCACTAGAAACAACCCAAGGGTGATATTTGGCTTTAGCAAAATTTTAAAAAAGCCTCTCTCCCTCATCACTTTTCCAGCCTAGTTAGGGTGATCAACTAATATTTTTTATAGTCCTTATAAAATTTAGCATAACTCTGTAAAAATGTTCAACCAATTTTTTTCATCTAAGCATAGCCTAGGCCTAAACAGTATATTAGGCCCCATAAAAAAAATTATTACTTTATCACCCTCGCGTGCATCACTTTTGGGAAAATCCAGATTTTTTTTTTTTTCCATTTTAAACGATCTTTTTTTCGTCATTTTTCACGTGAAAATGCTAGAGATTTACTACAAATAAATAACGAACTATTCACAGGCGATCTTTCTCATATTGATGTAGCAGATGTAAAAAGAAGGTCAATAATTTCATTTATTTTCTATATCCTCACCTTGCCAGATGTATTTATGAATTCTCACTTTTCATATTTAGAAACTGTACTGTATTTTAGAAAAATGTTTTACTGGACAATAAAAACATGTTTTCTTTGTTAATTTGAGTTCTTTCTTATGAATTTTTATGTGTTGGTCCTTAACCTAGTGAACCAGCGCACGCTGATAAGACGGTTAGCAAAAAAAAACCCTCCCTCCCTCCCTTATCAGTTTTTATGCTGGAGTAGGGTGATAAACTAATAATTTTTTTTACGGGGCCTTACTCACATTTTCATTGCATAAATGTGAAACTATATTTGAAGTCAATTGAAGGATATAATTTTGTGCGTGCTCCTAGCTAACCTAGGCCATCGGCCTAGGCTAGACCTAGCTGATTAGAGAGTGTAGCCTACCTACTCTAGGGCCTAGGTAGGTAGGCTAGGCCTATTCCTAAAATAAGGCCATGGGAATGAAAGTTGTAGGTTTGCGTCCACCGCCCGCATGCCTAAAAAGCTACCGCACGAAAATTTTCATTTTTTTAAAAGTTCATTATTTTGAAAAAAAAATACTTCGTTTTAAAAAACGGACTTTCTAAGTCGTAAACAGACAGAAAAATGATCTATTCATCACTGATCACTCGTCGCGAACACCGAGCGAAGGCAGGCCTGGCCACATCGCACCATGATTGCCGATCACTGCTGAGGTCATTTACGGGTCAAATTGATCTTTCTGACCAATAGGAAATTTTGTATGTTTAAAGAGGTCTTAAATGTAGAAAAGGATCTGTTTTATAGGTAAGCATTGTTTCTTGGGAATAAATGTAAAATTACCAATGCCGCGGCTTGTGGACAGCACTGAGCATTTATAAAAAAAATAATGAATAATGAAAAATGAAAAAAATGCCTCATGTGTTTTCAAAATTTTTCGGACGCAAACCTACAACTTTCATTCTCGTGGCCTAGGCCTAATATAATACAACGCAACAGAATGTGAGAATTTAGGGACTGCTTCAACCCTGGTGGACCGCCACATAGAAGTTATCGGGGACTCCATGCAGCACCAGCCCTACCAGGCCTAGCCTATGCATATCATGGGCCTACACTAGGCCTAGGCCCCTCCCATTCTCCTCTAGGCCTACCTAGGAATGCCCTGGTGCGACCATGGCTAGGCCTAGCTCACACACATACGACGACCCATATCAATAATGAACGCATTTTGTTAATATCTTTAAATTCAACCTATACAAATTAGGAATGTATCTATAGTAGTTACCAGACACAACTAGTGCCTCATTTGGCCCAACAGTGTGACAGTTTCCCATAATGTATGTATTCCTAGTAAAATTTCCCTCGAAACAAGCCTCACAACTGGTTAAATAATTGTAAACAGTCAACACCCACTTCAACAATTTCTACTATCAAACATGGCCGCTTCCACAACCCGGATTTTGTATAGAGGGCGGTACATATAATTAATAAATGGTCAGCAGGCGGTCAACATTAATTTCACACTGAAAAATTTTGTTCAGCAATAAAAACATGCCACAACTTAACACAACCAACAAACAAATTTAAAACAAATTGATAGAAATGTAGAACCTATAACGCAATTAGTACCCAGTATGTCTGATAATACAGTCTGTAAAGTATAGAATAAAATTAAAAGTCTGCGTAGGCCTAAATTGATTCTGTAATTTGTAATTAATTAATTAATTAATTAGGCATTTGAAGAATCTTTACGGTATCTTGTTGCAAAAGGAATACATGTCTTGAATTTAATTTAAATAATAAATGCATCAATAACTTGGCTAAGTCGATCATATAGGAGAGGTCGCAGGTTCAATTCCGCTAAAACATTATTTTTCAGACAAATTAATTAATTAATTTTCGTTGAAGAAATAACAGGATCAGATTCACTGTATTACATAATTTCTATTTTTTGAGCAGTTGTTCCATCATTTATAAATTTGTTCACACGTACTACGTAACATTTCTGATTATGAATGCACAAGTGCTACACAGAACATTGATCTATTATATGTGTATTGAAAACTCCTTCATTTGGCAAATGATTTATTAATTGTAGGCCTATATCTGGTTTTTTCCCGTTCAATTCATTCATTGTTTATAATATTGTAAATACTGTTATATCAATATATTTATACTGTATTTTGTAGGGAATCAAGTAACAAATAAAATCAATCTGAATCTGAATATTTAATGAATTTAATAAGGTAAAGAATACTTATTAGCCGGTGGTAGCTAATTACTGTTGCCCGATGATGACGGCTTGTCGCAATTAATTTTGTAATAAAGTTATTTTAAATAAATATAAATAAAACGATTGACGGAACATCAAAGAGGCTTCGACCAATATCAAGGCTACAATAGGCCTTAGGCTAATAAATAAATAATAAATAAAATAAAAAATAAATAAAGTTAACTTAAAATACAAACAACGCGATAGGATATAAAGTTTGAGAGAGTAATTGGTATACATACTGTATTTCCGAAGTGCCATTCGTTTTGGGGTTGCTACAATCAGGAGTTACAAATGATCCAACAAATGAAAAGCATTAGCTATGTATTTCCTTAAATTCCAAAAAAAGGAGGATTTTGGATGCTATTTAACATTTGCTGGAGATTGAAAAATTAACTGTTGCTGCGTTGTTAGAGAACATGATTAGGCCAATTTTAGTGAGAACAAAACATGTTTTAATAACGTAGGGCCTATAAACAATGCAAAGCAGATTGATCACAAAATCAGAAGCATGATCTCAAACATCAAAACCCAGCTTTTATTGTTTAAAACTGTCGGGGCCCCATTGAATGAAACTACGGTATTATTATTCTTTAAACTACAATGCGGGGCCCCTCGTGCTTGGGGGCCCTGGTGCTCTACCCCCGGTCAGCGCCCGAGCGTGACGCCACTAACAACTCCTGATTGTTAGCAACCCCAACGAACGGCACTTCAGAAAATACAGTACAGGTAGGCTATACCAATTATTCTCGCAAACTTCATATCCTATCACGTTTTTTGTGTTTTAAGTTAACTTAATTTTTTCTTTTTTGAAATGTACAGTTTTTTTAAAATCCCAAATCTTACAAAATTAGTTATTATTTGTTTAGCATGTAAGACCGTGTCCCGGACTTGTTCCGTTCTCGTGTCGTTTATAAATTTGTTTGTGCCGGATGCTGTGTACTTGGCGAAACCTGCCAACACCTATCGACACGAGTCCGTGAACATTTAGTCCCTGAAGGCCTCTCATATTTTTCAACATTTGCAGAGCTCGGGATCCTGTCGACAACTTTCTGATGAAAGTTGCTTCACTGTTCTAAACTCTGCAAATACACCCTATCAACTGAACTAAAAGAAGCTTTACATCTGAATTGGGAAAAACCTTCCCTAAACAAACAACTGACGCACTTAAATATCAAGCTTTTTATTTAGCTTTCTAAAGTTTTTAATACTCTGTTTTGTCAGCTGTTAGCTGTATCCGACTACGACGACACCGACAACACTAAAGACAACTACGGACTTAAAAGCAAACGATGCCCTCCACAAATCACCGAAATGAAATCATTCGAAGACGAAACAGAAGGTCAGAACTTGTATCGAAATGCCGCCACGAAAACAAGCACTACCTCCGAACAGCAACTCCGACGTCCGCAATAACCTAACTTCATACTACGTCCGCACAAGCAAGTCACATCACCCCACAACGTTCACCTTTCATCAGTTGCCTGACGATCGCAATAGCGTGAAACTCCGAGTAGCAACATTCTGTTCCAGCGACCTCCAGCTCTATATATATATGTATGTATATATATATATTGAACATATTCCATCATGTCCTTATTAAAAGTTGCTGCATAGGCAGATTTGTATATTAAATAAGAAGTCAAACAAGGTTCTGTATCTGTCTCAAAATAAAATATTTATTGTACTAGTACTTTTGATCATAGGTCATCATCAGTACCTGACGGTTGAAAGTATATATATACGTATATATATACATATATACATATATACATATATACATATATACATATATACATATATACATATATACATACATACATATATACATATATACATCACAAAAAATTGAGATATTTTTTTATTATATATATATATATATATATATATATACATATACATATAAACATACATATACATATACACCTACACACACATACACATAAACACCCACAAACACAAACACACACGCCCACGCACACACACCTCACCCACACTCACCCACCATCGCAAACACACACCCATACACACACCATCGCAAACACACACACACACATACACATATTCATATAAAAATAAACATATATATATATACATATATATTTGTATATATATGTACATATATATGTATATATATGTATATATTTGTATATATATGTATATATATGTATATATATATTTAATATATATATTTGTATAACCTACTATATATATAAATGCAAATTAGTATAATTGATTATTTTCACAAAATTAATACGTAAAAAATCAATTAATAAACTAAGTTAAATTAACATCAAAGCCTACAAATCACATCAAGAGTTACAAATTACGTAAAACAGATAAATAAGGAAACAAGAAACAAAAAAGAAAAACAATAATAAAAAAATAAATAAATAAAAAACGAGACGATAGGAACTAAGGTCCTGGGTACGACATTAAACTCCATTCGGTCGAAGCGTCGGCGACTAAACTTACAACTCTCTCCATGTCTTAGTGGCTGCTGAGGGGAGGGTGTTTATGGTCACCCAGCAGCAAGAAAAAACAATAGCCGAACAAAGGGCGGATGAGCTCCTTGGAGTAAACGGCCAACCATTAATTAGTTAAAGGAATGGGAGTAGTTTAGTCTCACTGTTACTATTGTTATTATGATTATTATTTTTTATTTTATTTTATGATTATTATTTTATTGTCATTTGTATCTCCTCGGTTGGCCTATATTCTTTCTTTGTAAAGATCCATCGGTCCAATTCCGGAGTCCGGTTTGAAAATCGTACGAATTTGATGTGAACGGTCCTAGTCTTTACCACTGAACCCATTTTTCACGATTTTTTTCTTCGGACTCCGGGGCGGAGTCCGGGTTTGATGTGAACGTAGCTTATAATTAAATCCAGGAATGCTACAACGTTCTGTAGGAGTGTTCGTAGTAATTCATGATTCTGTGATATCTAGCATATATCAGGAGGGGTTACATTAATAATAATTATACTAACTTCGTCTTATTTACTTAATATAATCTGGCATTGGTGACTAGCAGCTTTGACAGGACTGTTGTTAATGATCAATTAATTTGCTTTGTGTAAATTAAGAGTAGTGTTATTGACAAATTCAGCAGGTGATTGACAGAGTGATTTAGATATTGTAAAGTGGAGAAGACCACAGTAATATGGCAAAGACGCAACCGTGTCGATGTGGTGAAGACGGCAACAGTGTCGAAATTTGGCAAAGGCGTCAAGTGTCGTAATCGCAGATGTGTTCTGAAAGTTGGGGGTAGAGGACATTTTGTGACAACCATGGGTGGGGGCTGAGGTGCGAAAGTTTGAGGAAACTGTACTCTCTAGATGACCGGAAATGATACTCTTATAATTATAGGAAAATTCATTATCATCACATTACCCTTATAGTCAAAATGAAGTGCCAACACATTTCTCATGATCTTTTATCAGCGATTTTGGGAAATTATAGAGATGTAATTAATCTCTGTGATGTACCATAGAAAAACCAGATTAATTTTCCAAGATGTATTTATTTTACTTTACTTACTTCATGTGCCAAAAAACCAATCTTATAATTACACACTTTTTCTCATATTTCTAAAATTGTAATAAAGTCACGTCCACGCACACTCGAGTCGTGTACAAGTAATTTAGATATGTGAGGCAAGAGATACCAGTATTTTGCTATAAGATTAAACATATTCTGGTTGTAGGGAAAGACCTGGGTCATTTATTCAGTTCGTTTCAAGAATTTTCAGGCACCTTCTTGCCTTATGAAATCACATTGCCTATAAAAAGTGTGTGGGGGGGGGAAGGGGTGGGGGTGTCGTGTACAGCCCACAAATGTTAAAATCTACTGTAAATATAACCACAAATGTAAAAATAGCCAAGAATGTGAAAACAATGTACCAGCAAATGTCAAATCAACCACAATTGTCACGACATGCCCTACGATTGTAAAAATAACCACAGATGTAAAAAAAACAACAAACAAACAAACAAACAAACAAACAAACAAAAAAAAACCGCCCAGTGTAAAAATCTATTTAACTTCAAAATGTGAAAACATTTCGCCTGCAAATGCAAACATCCTCATTTTTACCTCCAAAGTCATAACATGTAACTCAACCACAAATGTTAAAATGTATTGTTTACATACACCAATGTATAAAAAT